GACCTTGATGTCGTAACAGTAGCTTAAGCAGAGTGTCTAAGGATGCTAAAAGAATGAAGGTGTGTAGGTCTGGGAAAGATCATGAAGGCTCTGAATCGGTTGAGGGTGTGAGGCCGGGCCCCTCAAGCAATACTAGAGGAAATGAGGCATCCACGAGCACCACTTCATTAGAAACATACTTTGTTGGTCAGGAACAACCTTCCACCAGTCGGGAGCGTGTGGCCCGCTTCAAAGCCTGGCAGTCTGAAGTCGAAAGAGAAAAACGTTTGGCCTGTGACTGAGAGTGGCACGCAATCTCCCGAAAGTCACAGTCTGAGGATAACAGGGAGGCTCGACTGGTAGCAGATAGGGTTCGCCACAATCTGGGGAGGGAAAATGAAACAGTAGAGGAGAGGGAAGCTCGGCAGGAAGAAGATAGAGGGAAACGGGTGTACTGATTTCGATGAAACTTTTTTCTTTGTTCTATACATGCGTGAGAAGGTTATAGGCCACTTGGATTTTGGGAATTCACCTTAGGGCTCCGCCCCACGGGTCTTCAAAGTTCCAATGTTATTCTTATGGACATTTTTTTTGTCTTAATGATTACCATAGTAACAGTGAATACAATGTAAAATTTTCAAAACAATGTTTATTATCTCTATGTTGGAGCTCTGTGTTGGAAAGAAAACAACTCCTGCAAAATTTTGTTGCGTCACTCCAGCTGTCTGTGCTTTATTTTGTTTATGTTTTGACATTATTTATTGCTTTTAAGGTTATATTTCTTTAAAAGAAGTATTTCTTTGCTAATGGTCGCTCGCCCGTCCACTCGGCATTGCTCTTTTGCGCTTGACTCGCGAACTGCGTTCTTTCTTATATTTTTTTCTTTTCTATGAACACTATCCTTGGAGTTTAAAAACTATATGTAGCCTGCTCAAGAGTAAGATCTTCTCGCAGCCTATTTATCCATGTCCCAGGTGGACGTACTTCCAATGTCGTCTATCAAGAGGCTCTTCGGTAAATAAAACAAATTTTTTCACAGATGTGTGATACACTACAAACACACAAGTACAACTCATCACAATTTGACATTTTCCGTTTTTTCTAAGTGACGCAGTTAACACATGGTCCACAGTATCTTTTGTTAGCTTATATTTAATTGTTATAATAATGTACAATAAAAAATGTAAAATGTAATGTAAATAATGTACAAGTAATTTGTTTGTTAATTGTTAAATTAATGTATTATTTCTTCTCTTTGCCCGTAC